TTCCAGGGATCGGTCCCTTCTGACAACATGAGAGACAAAGTCTCACCATGTATGGTTCTAAGGAGCATTCATGCTGTACTTCTTCCAACACAGATTTATTTGTTCTTCTGGCAGTCCATGGTACCCAAGACCATAATGCCAATGCATTGATTCTTCTATGGTCTTCTTTATTCAGGTCCAATTTTCACATGCATATGAAGTGATTGAAATTACCATGGCTTGAGTCAGGCACACCTTAGTCCACAAAGTGACATCTTTGCTATTTAACACTTTAAAGAGGTCTTTTGCAGCAGATTTGCTAATGCAATACACCATTTGATTTCTTGACTGCTGCTTCCATGAGTGTTGATTGTAGATCCAAGCAAAATGAAGTCTTTGACAACTTCAATCTTTTCTCCATTTCTCATGAAGTTGTTTATTGGACAAGTTGTGAGGATTATAATTTTCTTTATACTGAGGTGCAACCTGTATTAAAGGTTGTACTCTTTGATCATCATCAGTAAGTATTTCAAGTTTTCTTCAATCCAACAAACAAGGTTGTGTCACCTACATATTAGAAATTGTTTATAAGTCGTCTCCCAATTCTAATGCCACATTCTTCTTCATATAATCTAGTTTCTCAGATTATTTGTTCAGCATACAGATTGAATAAGTATGGTGGAAACATACAATCCTGTCACACATCTTTCCTGATTTTAAACCATTCCGTACCCCTTGTTCTGTTTGAACAACTGCCTTTTGGTTTACGTACACGTTCCCCATGAGCATAATTAAGTATTCTGGAATACCCATTCTCCACAATGTTGTCCATAGCTTGTCATGATCCACACACCCGAGTGCCTTTGCATAATCAATAAAGCATAAGTAAACATCTTTTGGATATTCTCTGCTTTCAGCTAAGATTCATCTGACGTCAACAATGATATCCCTAGTTCCACATCTTTTTCTGAATCCAGCTGGAATTTCTGACTGCTACCTATTAATGTATTATTGCAACCATTTTTAAATTATCTTCAGCAAAATTTTACTCGTGATATTAATGGCATTGTTGAATGGTTTCCACAATCCATTGGGTCACCTTTCTTGGGACTTGGCACAAATATGAATCTCAACCAGTTGGTAGGCCTTGTAGCTGTCTTCCAAATTTCTTGGCACAGGTAAATGAGCACCTCCAGCAATGCATCAGTTTGTTGAAATATTTCTCTTTGAATTTTGTCAATTCCTGGAGCCTTGTTTTTTACCAATGCCTTCAGTGCAGCTAGGACTTCTTCCTTCAGTACCATCGGTTCATGATCATATGCATGAAATGGTTACACATCAACCAATTTTGTATGTGTGTGTGTGTCCAGTAATTCTGTGTATTCCTTTCATCTTCTTTGGATGCTTCCTAGATCCTTCAATATTCACCCATAGAATCCTTCAATATGGCAAATTGAGGCTTGAATTTTTTCTCCAGTTCTTTCAGCTTGAGAAATGCTGAGCTTCCCTTTTGGTTTTCTAACTCCAGGTCTTGGTACATTTCATTATAGTACTTGACTTTGTCTTTTAAATTTTTCTGTTCAGCTCTTTCATTTCCTCATTTCTTCCAGTGTTTTAGTTTCTTTATGTTCAAGTTTCAGAGTCTCTTCTGACATCCACTTAGATCTTTTCTTTCTTTCCTGTCTTTTTAATGACCATTTGCTTTCTTTCTATATGATGTCCTTAATACACTGTAGCTCTTCTGGTCTTCGGTCATTAGCCTCTAATGTATCAAATCTGTTCTTGATGGTCTCTAAATTCAGGTGAGATACATTCAAGGTCATTTCTTGGTTCTTGTGGGCTTGTTTTCATTTTCTTCAGCTTCAGCCTGAACTTACATATGAGCAATTGATGGTCCTTCCACATTCGGTCCTTAACCTTGTTTTGGCTGATGATACTGAGCTTCCTCCCTTATCTCTTTCCACAGATGTAGTCAATTTGATTCCTGTGTATTCCACCTGGTAAGGTCCATGGGTATGGTTGCCGTTTATGTCGTCCAAAAAAAGATATTGCAATGAGTAATAAATCTCACTGGTCTTACAAAATTCTATCATGTGATCTCTAGCTTCTATCACCAAGGCCACATTTTCCAACTACTGTCTATTGCCCTTTGTTTCCAACTTTCGCATTTCAATCACCAGTAGTTATCAATATATTTTGTTTGCATATTTTATCAATTCAGATTGAAGACATTGGTAGAATTCTTCAATTTATTCATCGTTGGTTTTGGTGGTTGGTGCGTAAAATTGAATAATAGTTGTACTAATTGGTCTTCCCTGTAGGTATATATATATATTATCCTATCTTGAAATGTTCTTTATGAAAATGAATGCAACATCGACCCTCTTGAATTTGTTTTACCTGCATAGTAAACCATATGATTGTCCGATTAAAAATGTCCAATACCTGTCTATTTCAACCCACTAATGCCTCAGATAGGAGCCCTGGTGGACCAGACTGCTGATCGCAAGGTTGGTAGTTCAAACGCATCAGCCCCTCTGCAGGGGAAAGATGAATCTGTCTCCTCCCAAAAGCTTTGCTCTACTCTTGCCACTACGTTTAGGAGGCAGCTCTTCCTTAGTTTTATTTTGAGTGCCTTCCAACCTGAGGGGCTCAGTTTCTGGCATTATGTCAGACAACGTTCCACTGCTATGCACAGTGGGTTTAGGAGCTAAGCCCTTAGAAGTTGACCACTTATTCCTTTTTCCTAGTCTGTTCTTAGTCCGGAAGTTCTGCTGAAACCTGTCCACCACGGCTAACCCTGATGGTATTTGGAACACCTGTGGCACAACTGCCAGAATCACAGCAACAAACAAGTCACCCCATTATGACAAATGGACAAAACATGTGGGTTAATTAGGTTAGTGTTGTTATTGTTAAGTGTTATTTCCAACTAATGGTGACTCCTATATAAAGGGTTTCCAAGGAGCAACTTCTTATAGATGTTGGTTCTAGTGGATTTCAATAGTCAACTTTGTGGTTAGCACTTTACTACTTATCCTACAGCACCACACCAGGACTCTGTTTAGGTCGGTGGTGGTGGTGGTGGTGATGTGCTGTGGAGTCAGTTCCGACGCATAGCCACCCTGTAATAGGGTTTCCAAGGCTGTAAATCTTTACGGGAGCAGAAAGCCTCATCTTTCTCCCGTGGAACAGCTGGTAGTTTCAAACTGCTGGCCTTCTGGTTCACAGCCCACTTCATAACCACTACGCTACCAGAGCTCCTTGTCAGGTTAATAGCCAAGGACAAATCATTTGTACCACCCAGGGGACCTTCCAACCCCAAAAACAAGTCCAGTGCCATCTAGGCAATTTGCATTCATAGTGAGTCAGTATAGGGTTTCCAAGACTATAAACCTTTATGGAGTTCTCCCACCTCATCTTTCTCCTGAAGAACAGCTGGTGATTTTGAACCACTAACCTTGAAGAGTCCTGATGTGGCGCTGTAGGATCAGCACTGGATTGTGAACCTCAAGGCTGGCAGTTCAAGTCCACCAGTTGTTCCTTGGGAAGCCTGTACAGGGTGGCTATGAGTCTGAATGGACTCAAAGGCACTTAACAACAAACCTTGTGGCTAGCAGCCCAATGCCTAACCCACAGTATCAGTAGGGCTCCTTCACGGACCCACCCTGGAGGCCAAAATCAGTGTTCATCCTTCAGTTTCCCCAATTGCTCAGCTCACCCTTAACAGAGCCTGTGACTAGCCTAACCTAGCAGGAGGGAGCTGGAAGAAGGCTTGTTTTGTAGTCTGAATCCATTTTTTGGTTTGGTTTTGTTTTTTCTCTGCTGAGAAAAGCCAGATTTTTCTCTGTGGAGAGAATTCAGAGGTAGGTTATCTTTGTTCTGTCTCTCCTCAGCTCACTTCCCTAGCCAAACGCTGATGCCATCACCATAGTGGTTTGTCTTCAGTGAGCTGCCCCAAGGAGGTTTGGGTTATGCAGAGCACGTTCCCCTATATAAGCAGGTCCTGGAGTCCTAGTGTGGTGCAGTGGGTTAATGTGCCGGACTGTAAGATCAGATCGTTTTGAACAAGGTCAGCGGTCCAAGCTCACCAGCTGCTCCTCGGAAACCCTATATAGATAGAATCGCTATGATTCAGTACCAACTCTGTGGCACTTAACAACAAGAACAAGAACACAGGAGTCCTGCTGTGGCGCTGTAGGGTCAGCCCTGGACTGCTAACTACAAGGTTGGTGGTTCAAAACCACCAGTTGCTCTAGGAAACCCCTATACAGGGTCGTTATGAGTCAGCACAGGAAAGTGACTTCGACGAAGAGAAAATATCGTGATTCAAACATCTATTGGCTCAGAGCTAGTCTCAGGTCTTATCCGGAAGGCCGCTGGAACCTTGGCGCCCAGGAGCTGAACGGTTTCCCTGGCAACAGTGAGGGGGTTCACCCCTCCACTCAAAGTAGCTGCACAAGGATTTTGGCTAAAGGGTCCTTTCCCGGAGAGCTGGGTCTCCTCCATCCCCATCGCAGGTGAGGGAAACCAGGACGGAGCCTATATGGGCCTCTTCGCCTAGTGCCGGGAACTCGCCAGGTCCCCGCCCTACCGCGCCACTCGGGCCACTTGGTAACAAACACTTCCACTTCCTGAGACTCTTTCTTTGCCCGTCGCGGGGCACTAGGCCGAACGCAGGCCCCACCTCCCCACGTTCCTATTGGTCTACGGCGTTCACCAGGCCCGAGCGCCCCGCCCTCAGGCCCTGATTGGCCCTTCACGGCCCACACCCATGCGCAGCCCCGCCCCCGGATAAGGGGCCGGAGCCGGTTCTGGAACGCGCAGTCATCTCGAGGGCGGGGACTGGTCTGCGCGCTTCTTCGGTCTCTTTGCGTACGCGCCCGTCGTTGTCCCTGGGACACCTGCTCGCTCCGCCTGTGCAGACGCAGGGATTCCCACCGCGCTCCCGGCTCCGCAAGGCGGGAGAAGGGCTGTCCGTCCCTGTTTCTGGCCTCGACGGGAACCCGCGTGGCGCCGCTGAGCCGACGCGGAGCGACATGAGCGCAGCCACGGCAACCGGGGCACCCCTGCCCCGGCTCTGCTGCCTGGAGAAGGGCCCAAACGGCTACGGCTTTCACCTGCATGGGGAGAAGGGCAAGGTGGGTCAGTTCATCCGACTTGTGGAGCCCGGCTCGCCGGCTGAGAAGGCGGGGTTGCTGGCCGGGGACCGGCTGGTGGAGGTGAACGGCGAGAACGTGGAGAAGGAGACCCACCAGCAGGTGGTGAACCGTATCCGCTCCGCTCTCAACTCCGTGCGTCTGCTGGTGGTCGACCCGGACACGGACGAACAGCTGCAGAAGTTGGGCGTCCCGGTGCGCGAGGAGCTGCTGCGCGCCCCGGAGAGATCCGGGCCGGCCGAGGCGGCGGCCGCTACCGAGGCGCCGGGGGATGGTGGCGAGAGTGAGCCTCGCGAGGCCGAGAAGAGCCAAACGGAGCAGCAGGTAGGTGCGGCCAGCCTGGGACGGGGACCGGTGGGGAGATCCGGCACCCAGAGCCTGCGCAGCCCCGCGCCCGCCCTTGTCTTTCTGAAACTGGCGGCATGGGGGAGACCTTGGGATCGCCGCTCCGTCTCCTTGTCAGTTCTTAGGCAGACTTTGGGGTAGCCTCCCGCGACCTCCCAGCCCCCTCCCCAGGCTGAACTAGACCCCTGAGTGCCTTGGCCGCCTGCATCTCTTGTCCTTTAGCTCTTAGAGAGGAATGGGGAGGGAGCTCAGGGGCGTCTGTTTCCGTCCCTTGGAACCCAATTAGTTATGGGGGAATCCCCGCCTTCCCCAGGCCCTTCTCCTCGGTCACCCCACCCCCAGCTCGCAGTTCGGCTGGTGGAGAAGGCTCCCTTGCCCCAGAAATCGCCAGCTTCCTCCCCGGCCCTTATGGCTGTTAACTGAAACTGGGGTGACGCTGAGCGCGGCGCCTACTTCCAAGCCAGAGGAGTAACAATCTCCTTTCTGTGTGAGATACATCCCGGAGGCTAGGCGGGGAGGGGTCGCACGCAGAACCCCGCCTCCCGCCAGCCTGCCGGTGTGTATCATTAACTAAGCGTGGCGGACTTCATCCTCCTCAAGTCCGTTGTGTCTCCTAAGGAGGAGAGAGGAAGCCCCACGTCCCAAAGCGGGGAGGAGGCACGGAGGCGTCAGGGCGGCGGGGGGGGGGGTTGTTCCGCCCCCCAAGGAGGATTTATGGTCCTTAGGAATGTGAGGAGTAAGCGCTAGCTTGTATCAGGAAGCGGGAAGGAGGTGGAGGAGGAGGAGGAGGAGAAAGATGGCTGGAGGGGAGGGGGATGGCGGCCGTTGGTAAAAAGCCAGAAAGTGGCGCGCTGCGTCCCCGTAGACTAGTAGGCTTGTCTGTGCCTGGCTTCCAGTCGGTGGACAGCAAGCAACAAGCAAGACGGCCGACGGCATTTCGCCTGTGTTTGGCATTTATCATGTTTTGTTCATCCCTGTTTGGACCAGCGGCCGGAGGGGCAGCTGGCAAAACAGGACCCAAGGGAGTGAAGAGGGAGGCCTTGGGGTGCAGACTGGCAGCAGGGCCTGTTTAGCTTGCACCAACTCTTTCTGGTGGCTGCGTGTGGCTCATGTGCCCACAGTGTTAGCAGGGAGCTTCCTGGACAGAGAAAGGACACAGACTTCACAATCAAGGTGCAAGGTGGAACCAGAGAGGACCAACTGGTTGGTGGAAGTGAAGTGAGGTCATCGGGAGCCCTGTCCAGCCAGAGCTTGGTGCCGGAATGCCCGGGCTGCCAGGCTCTCACTTCCTGCCTGTGCCAAGCTGGCATTGGCTGGGGGGTGGGGGGGAAGGGCCAGAGCACCCCTGCAGGTTGACACCTGGGAGTTGGGAACCAGTGACCTGTGGTCCCAGGCAGACTCCAATTTGAACTTTGTGCTAAGACATCGATTTGCCACCCCACCCCTCTTTTTCTTTTTGGACTTTGGCACCCACACAAATGCTGCACTTCCCCCCACCCCACCCCAAGTTACAGTCGTGTTCAGCTCTTCCTTTGTCCTTTTGGTTTTGCTGCTACTGGGTGCGTGGAGGTTTGTCGTTAACACCCACACTCACCGCCAACTGAAAAGGCAGCATGTGGGCTTCCTGCTCCATGGGCTGTTCTAGGGAAGAGCACAGAATTGCATCCCCCCACCCCCACCCTGGCTATGTACCACTCAGGTAGTCTACTAGGTTAAGAGAAGAAAATCGACCACCTGTCGTGAGACCTCGGTACACTGCCAGCCTGTTTAAGCTCAACACGCAAGTCACAGGAGCTCAACACGCAAGTCACAGGATCTCTGTCAGCTCGTCCCCTCTCCCCCCCCACTTATAAAATGGGACTCCATCAAGTCTGTCTTCTCTAGGAGTTTTCAAATGTTGCCAAGTACTAGAGCTCTTTTATGCCCAGGGCAATCCAGTCCCAGCTGTGTGCCACCAGCTCCTTCCACCTGGCCACTCAACACTGTTAAGTCCCTCTAGCAGACAACTGCCATCATCAAGTAGGTCCCAGAAGAGGTGGCTCACCTCTTTGTTGTTGTAAAAAAAAAAAAAGTGTCAATAAAGATTATATGAGTCATTCTTTTTTTTCCTAAAAGGCAGCCCTATCTTTTATGAAGCATCTCATTTGTTTTAGCCTGAGTTTGTTTACGTGGTGGTGGTGGTTGTGTGCCATTGAGTCTGTCGCGACTCTTAGGGACTTTGTATAGGGTTTCTGAAGCTGTAAATCTTTAGAGGAACAGAAAGCCTCATCTTTTCTCCCTGCGAAAGTGTCAGCGGATTGGAACTGCTGACCTTTCGGTTAGCAGCCATAACCCCCTCCACCAGAGCTCCTTTGTTTGCCTCGTTCTGTGGGTGTTAAGTGCTGTGGAGTTGGTTCCGACTCAGCAACCCTATATAGGGTTTCTAAGGAGCAGCTGGTGGGTTTGAACTGCCGACCTTGAGGTTAGCAGTCCAGTGCTTATCCTACAGTGTTGTTGTTGTTGTTAAGTACCATGGAGTCGGTTCCGACTCACAGTGACCCTGCAAAGGGTTTCTGAAGCTGTAAATCTTTACGGGAGCAGAAAGCCTCATCTTTTTCCCGCGGAACAGTTGGCAGTTTCGAACTGCCGACCTTGAGGTTAGCAGCCCAATTCGTAACCACTGCGCTACCAGAGCTCCTTTATCCTACAGTGTAGGGGCTGTTATAGCCTCTTTATTAGCTCTCAGGTAAAAAAGGTCTACACCTGCAGGGTGTGGTGGACATGGGAAACATCCTTCTGGAAAGCACAGGGGAGGCGATGTGACAGAGGTGGCCTGTCTTTGTCTGCCTATGGCACTGGCTGAGAGCCAGCAACTCCCTACTCAGCTCCACTGTGGCACTGCCCTGTGCAGAGCCTCCCCCTACTCCCCACCACTCACAGGATCAGCCCACAGTGGCAGCCAGGCAGGTCGTAGCCAGCTATCTGTCCCAGCAGGGCTACGTTGAGCCATGTTACCTAACCTCTGTCAGCCTCCATTTCCTCTTGTGTAAGTTCTGAGTGATGAACAGCACCTTCTTGGGGTCCCTGGCCTCATGTGAGGATGTTTGTAAAGCAAGTAGCTCTGCGCCAGCACTCAGCGCTGACTCAGGCCATGTTCACTGTGTGTTATTATCTGGGCCCACACTTACTTCACAGTGATTGTACACAGCTACCCAGGAGGCCTGTAACACTGGATCTGCCTCTCCCGTCCAGCCAGATCAGCTGTGGGCCACGCTGTTGTTGAATGATTGTATGTGTCGTTACAAGGCCTTTCACGGTGCCTCCTCTTACTACTGCCTCCATGTGTGTCCCCTGTTCCCATCAAATCCAACTGAGGGTCCGTGTTTCCCTCGGGCGTGCCATGTTCTCAGCCTCTGAGCGTTGGTGCGGATACTCCTCTGCCTGGGAACCTTTCTCTCAGTCCACTCCCCTCCCAACGGAGTTTTCACTGGATCCCTGAAGGGTCAGCTCTTCTCTCACCAGCTCCTCCTATTCTCTGCCTTTATGTCTTTTGAGACTCTGAACTGGCTGTATTATTATCATCAGTTCATGACCCTTCTCCACTCCATGTCCCAAGGGCAACAGCTGAAGCTTATCCGTGTTTATAGCTTTGCACTGCAACATGCCTAGGCTAGGGAGGTGCCACAGCAGTGTTTTTTGAAAGAAGGAAGGAAGGAATGAATGAATGCAAAACAACTGTCAAGGGACCTTTGTCCTAATTGACCTCAGTCCAGCATACCTGGACCTGCTTGCTCCTCAAGCACACCCAGAGACAGGAATTCCAGATAGAATATTCCAGATGGAACCTACCCACTCCTGTTTCTTGCCTACAAGCAGCTTCCGATTTAGGATCTTTCTTGTTAAGTGCCATCAAGTTGATTCCGACCCATAGGGACTCTGTGTAAGGTTTCTGAGGAGTGGCTGGTGAGCTTGAGCCGCCGGTCTTGTGGTTCAAACGGATTTTGCAGTCCAGCACATTAACCCACAGTGCATCTTTCTTAGACGACCATAACTCTGGGCTTTGGGACCAGCCAGGTCAGTGTGTGAAGCCCAGCTTTGCCACTCACTGGTTCTGGAAGCTTAGGCAAATTCATTGTTCTCGTCAAACCTCAGCTTCCACCTCTGTGAAATGGGCACACAAGTACCAGCCCTGCAGGGTTGTTGGGTGAGATGATGTGTGGACGCGGGCAAGTGCGTAAATTTGAGATGGGTTCCCACCAGACCTAACTATAATCTAGAGATAGAGACCCTGCAGACACCCCAGATGGCAGGTTTGAGGGGTGAATGAGCACAGTTAGCTGGCATCCTGCCAACTTCTTTCCCAAGGAGGGAGGACCATTTCTCAGAGACTGGTGTGGTGCTGTAGGATCAACACTGGACTGCAAAACCCAAGGTCAACAGTTTAAACCCACCAGCCACTTCTTGAAAACCCTATACAGGGTTGCTGTAAGTCAGAATGGACTCAGCGATACTTAACAACAAATCGGAGCGTTGGAAAAGCAGATCCGGTGTTGGTTTGAAATGGGCATGAGCTGGTTCCTGTTCTTTAGAATTGAGGAGTCTTTCCTCTCGTAAGGACCCCTAATGGCACAGTGTGTTAATGGTTGGCCTGTTAACCAAAGGGTTGTTGGTTTCAACCCACCAGCTGCTCTGAGGGAGAAAGATGAAGCTGGCTGTCTGCTCCTGTAAAGATTTATAGTCTCAGACCCGTGGGAGTTTCTGAGACTGTAAATAACCCTATAGGACAAACTGCTCTGTTTTATAGGGTTGTTATGAGTTGGCATGGATACAACAGCAGTGGGGCTTCTGGAGGTTTCTCCCTTGGCTTAACAGTAGCTCTTGGTTCTCAGCCTCTCATTCCTCTTGCTGAATAATCAGTAGTTCTGGTGACGATTCTCTTGACTGGAGGAAGGGGCTTCTTGTCAACCTGGTGTGTCCTAGACCCTGGTGTGTCTAGATCA